GATCTTTATTATATTTTAAAATTTAACACTAGAATCATATTTGGCTTGAATTTTGGGGGAAAATCCAACTAATAGCTATAAAAAATCATAACACAAAAAATACTTTTCTTAGAATAACAAAAACTTGTATTTCTTACTTAAGACTAATATAACTTTAAGAAAAAAAATATAATAGGAACATAAAACTTCTCTAAAAAAAAATGTCCGCAATCGAACTACATCTTAAATTCTAAGCACAGTCAGGGCACACTTGTTTCGCGCACTGTAAACAAATGTGCTTTTGTGTACATCAATAGGCCAATAAAAGCGTGCAACTCATCATATCGGTATCTTTTAGCTCTGAGCGATCTTGCTTCCTATATTTACATCTATATTCAGCCAGCTTCTCATTGGTTCTTAGCAAAATCTCCGATAACATCTCGTCATTTATATATTGTTTCCACAAAGAATAAGGATCCTTTCCATCATTTTCGGTCAAATTGGATATAGGGAAATAATATTATGTTGTGGTGTTCTAACAGATGATCTATTTGGAGGTGATTTAGACCACTTATATTTGTTCTTTCGTCTAAAACATCCCAGCCTTGAGAGAGGAACATCTTCATCTGATGACGATGATGGCGCGTCCAGTTGTTCAGGTTGAGTTTTTTCTGTATCAGAAATATCAGTGCTGGTATCCGTGTCATGGTCATTATGCTTTGGACAAAAATCTTCGCCAACGTCGTCAACCTCAGATCCGCTGGAATCTTCATTCGTGATCCAGCTCTCAATTACTCGCGCATAATTTGGATTAGATGCATTTATACTTATCCGAGGTCTCTTTGAGTGATGTAAATCTGTCGCAGAAACTATTTCTATTACTACCTGAAGTTCCTGGTCTATCCATAATTTACACTATCTGTAAAAATAATAGTTTATTATAAAAAAATAATAAAATAAAAAACTTACGTAAGTACCGACGTGAGGTCTGAGAGACCGCGTCGGAATTTCAAATCGTAATTACTCACCAAATGCGCGTGCGACTTTACGCCTTCCTGTTTCAATGTCAAAGTGGGACCTGTTCTTGCAGCTACTTAAAAGCAGGGATCGGAATTTGGTGGGGAAAGGGGTAAAGTAGCGAGTCAAGTGCCTGTCAGGGCCTCTCAGGCCGCACGTCGGTACTTAAAGGTTAATAAAAACTGTTACTTTTAATTAACAAGGGAAAACGTGTTATTTATAAATATTTTTACGATAAATCATACTAAATAAATAAAAGTTTAATTCAATGAGCCAAATGTTACGGATCGCTGTTTCTTGCCTGCAGCATAAAATATTTCTATCCCATATTTATCTAAAAAAATGGATTTTTAGTTCAAGTAACAAAATTACTTAAAACTTTTAAAGAGATAAATCTAAACTATTTGTTGTAATGGTAACTCTTTTGTTTACATCAGAATAATTTGTTTCACAATAACGCCACTTTTAGGAACCTAACCATACAATAAATAAGTCACAATAATTCCAAAACAAATTTCAAATTTAGTTTTGGTACGTAATCAGTTCACCTCTTTCTTATTGATGTCTTTCTCTTCCTTCTTACGCTTTCGATTTTGTCCAAGAAATTATTACATGTTAAAGACCAATATTTCAGTATAATCATAACATTACCTAAGACAAGGCTGTATGGAAAGATCCCTTTTCCTCGAATTATATAATTACAATTAAAAAAAATGAGCTACCGACAACCGTTCGTAGTTGGTGCCTATCGTGGATTGTGAAACGCAAAAACGCATGGTTGTCGGTAGCTCAAAAAACGGTCGGTAGCTGCTACCGATGGTTGTCGGCAATGATGTCAGACGTACCAACTTCTTGGTATATACTAGTTTTTAGTGTCACGTACCATGTACCAAGACTACTCAGTCATTGTATGCAAAAATACCAAGATTGGCCGTTGACCGATAAAAATACATTGACAATATAGAATAATCGACAAATTTCAGAGATGCATGTAAAAAAAAACATTCCAATCAGATTTCCTTAATGTCATAAAACTTAATTATATCAAGCTGTCTCGATGAGCAGTTAACATTTTCCGCCGTTATTTTCTTAATATGTTAGATAGCGTAATGGTAACGCGTTGCGCTCACGTTCACGGGGCCCCGGGTTATTGTTAAATTGTATAAGTAAAGTAATATGCCGTTTAAAGTAATCTTAATATGGAATTCGAAACCAACTGTTCCAGTTAGTTACTTTGGCTCTTAGGCTAGGCTTTGTGCTGTAGTCTGAGTTTTAAGTCGCAATTGCTTTTGGACCAAAAGTTTTGAATGATCAAAAGATTAATAAAAACTAAGTAAATTTAAAGTAATATTTACCCCGAAACCTGTATACCGGTACTCGAGTACCCGAGTACCTGCCAGGTATTCGAGTCAGTACCTAGGAAAATTAATATTACTGCTACGGCAGTAGTCTATTGCTATCTGGGTGGCAGACGGCGACGTCATTGAGATAGACATATGATAAGGTTTTGACAAATATGAACCGTTGTATAGATTCCGAACACTGGACAATGGCCAATATACGAACTGCCACAACTGCGGTAAATCTTATACACTAGGTTGCTCCTAAGGGTTTTCCAATGGTTCGCAGTTTTGAATTGTCAATATCGTTGAACTCCATTTTGATACTTGATCTTGTATTAATAAACTGTTATTTCGTATTCCGTATTTATTAGTGACCATGAAAGTGAATAATGAGTGATTTAATCATAATTATAAAAATATTAGCAACTAGTTGCTAATGAACAAATAGCTAGTTCTTAGCTAGGAATTAGTGATTTATTAAAAATGAGTTACAGAATGTGACACCCACGCAACGGTCCGTTGTCCACATAGCTCTATAAACAAGTTATTTCGGTTGTCCTCAGAAGTTGCACGAGTTACAGAATAAGGGGCCGGTGACCTTGGTTGGGGTGTCGACGATAGTTATCCACCCAAGAATTGGCAGTATGGCTTAGTGCCTTCGCCTGTGCCCGAAAACGAAACGAATGTTATCCACATTGGTTGCCAACCAAACTTTCCGACCCAGGGTGACCTTAGGCGATACTAGTTTTTAACCGGCAGTGTTGCCAAACTGGAGAAACTAAAAAAAAATATTTTACGTGTTTTTATTAAAGCAATCAATGGAGATGTGAAGACGTCTAATTTGGTTTATTTAATGAAATTTAGACCCTGACCTGACTGATAAAAGGAAATCGCATTTGAGAGTGTTTTACTTCAAAAATATTCGTCATTAAGAGTTTAATAATTTTAAATGAATATTGAAAAATCTAATAATACTATGAGAATTTATCAGAAAAATATTTTTTTTTTGTCTGATACTTCAGGCCCAGAGATGATTTGTCGTCACTTCTGTATCGAAAATAATGTTTTTTAAATGAAAGTTTAAAGATTGATATTACAAGATAGGGATAGATATTTTAAAGTAATAATAATTCTAAAGTAATATTTTTGAGTTTAATCTGTAAATGAATGACTAGATTCCGCGCATAATAATTTATATGCGTCCCCCTTTATTTCTAGTAACATCAAAAGTTTAAAGAGAAGTCCTTTTTAGTCGAACTTTGATAGCTGTGAAATGTATAAGGTTATAAGGCAAGTCTTGTTTATGAATATGTTAAAATCGTTTATAATTTACTACTCAATTGTATTATATGTTAAAGTAGTATATAGTACCCAAAGCTAATAAGGCATGTATTACAATACCCTAGCAATTAGGGCTAATGATAATAATAGGGGTTAAAGTATGAAATTGCCGATTTGTACTTCAAATAAAAATTGTTTAATTTTTAATTTTTAACAAATTTATTTAATCAAAATAGTTACCATTACTTTCTATACATTGCTGCTATCTTTTATGCCATTGCGATAAAACTCTGAGGATCTAGACTGTACAAACTGTGTGAAAGCATTTTGTACTGCCTCCTTGGTAGAAAACTTCTTGACACGTAGATAATTGTCTAAATCACGAAAAAAATGGTTGTCCGTTGGAGCAAGGTCTGGCGAATACGGAGGATGACGAATGGTTTCTAACTGCAGTTCCTGAAGGGTCAAAACGGTTTCTCGTGCTGTATGAGTTCTCGCGTTGTCATGGAACAATAATGGTGGAGATTGATTCATGAGTCGGGGCTGTTTTACTGCTAGTTTTTCCAACACTGTTCGGATTACGGTACAATAGACATCTGCCGTTATTGCTTGACCAGATCGGAGAAAACTATAGTGAATAACACCGTGCTGAGACCACCAAACAGTTACCATTATCTTTTTATTGGTAACTTTTGCTTTAGGACACTGTTGTGGCGTTTGACTTGCGGTCAGCCATTACATTTTTCTCTTACAGTTATCATAAAGAATCCACTTTTCATCACATGTTGATCATCACATGTCACAATTCAATCCAATATTCCTTCATTTCTGTACCGATATAACAAGGCAATACAAGTTTCAACACACGTTTCTTTTTGTAGATCAGTCAAATCATGAGACATCCAATTTTCGTATGTTTTTATTTCATTGATTTGACGTAAATGAGTCAATATTGTAAGGTAACGTTAAGCCATGCCGCTTATTCCTGGGTAGTTTGACTAGGATCGCCTTCCACCATTTCTCTCAATTTATCGTTATTCACCTGTGTGGATCCTTTCTCTTGGATTATTCTTCAAGGCGAAGTTTCCATCACGGAAGTGTTTAAACCATTGTCACACGGTGCATTCATGTGCAACGTGCGGGCTGTTTCTGCCGCGTTACTTCCGTGTCGGAACTCGTATTAAAAAATCACCCAAAATTTCGCAGTATCCATCTTTCTTGTCTATTCAATAACAAAAACAATTTAAAGTCGATATTCAAATGTTTCACATTTTGTAAAAGAAGAACATCATAGAAACATGTGAAAATGTTTCTTCCGAAAATCTCTAACCTTGAAGATTCTGTCAATTAAAGGAACCTTTTACAATAAAAAGGCAATTGCATACTTTAACCCCCTAATATTTGATCCGTTCTCACATAACCAACTGTGCGGATGCTTTTAAAACATTCCTAAACTATAGCATAGAATTGCCATCACAAAACTAAGACAACATAATAATCTTGTAACAGATGGTAACACTTATTGTGATTTGCTGCGCGTCCATGTCAAGAGATTTTCGTTTGTGTAACACGGGATCAATAGAAATGTGGAATCTTGACTTATTTAATAAAATAATTTATCTCATTTGAACTATTCGAACGAATCAACATCTAACTTTAGTGTCAAACTAAACACGGTAACATGATTAAAGGCGACCTCGGCAACCATTAGTTCAGAGCAGACAGTGAAGTGAAATGACGGGGCTGTCCTTTATTCGTAACAAAGTGAAGTAGTAACATAGAAAATCGAGCATACTATTTATGTGCATTATGTAGTGAGAGTGTGTCTTTGCGTCATTTATTACTTACTTAATACCGTGTTTTGGTCATCGCGTGTATATTATGTGGACGAGATGATGTGGATGTTTGCGGTGGCTGCGGCCGCGGCCCTGACAGCGCTCAGTGTCAGCGGGGAACAGGTGCTTCTTTTAGACACCACTACAGAGGCGACCCTGGGATGGACGAGGTTCCCATATGGACCGCAAGCGAGTACACCAGGTTGGCTTGAAGAATCGTATACGAATTTCGAGAAACAAATCAACTGGCGATCGTACGTGGTTTGTGACGTCGCTCACCATAATGTCAACAACTGGCTGTGGACACCATTCATAGAAAGACGAAATGCTAATCGTATATACATCGAAATTAAGTTTACGATTCGTGATTGTTCATTGTTCCCTGGCAATGCATTGAGCTGCAAAGAGACTTTTAGCCTTTTGTATTACGAGTTTGATGTCGCCACACGAGAACAGCCTCCTTGGGAACCTGATAGTTACAAACTTGTTGGTAGAATAGCTGCAGGTGAAGGTAGATTCAATACTAACTCTGAAGTGGACATAAATACTGAGGTCAAAAGTATAGCTGTGACAAAGAGAGGTGTTTACTTTGCCTTCAGAGATCAAGGAGCATGTATTTCAATATTAGCTGTAAAAGTATATTACATTACATGTCCAGAGGCAACAGTAAATTTTGCTAGATTCCCTGCCACACCAACAGGAAGAGAAGTCACAGTGATTGAACAAGCTAATGGCACTTGTGTGGAGAATGCTGAGATTGCTCCTGGTGAAGCTCCCCCTGTATACTTATGTAAAGGAGATGGTAAGTGGACCCTTCCCAGTGGTTCATGTAAGTGTCGTGCAGGTTTTGAGCCTGATCATCATAATCAAGTTTGTAATAAATGCCAACCAGGAAAATTTAAGTCTCATACTGGAGATGATCCTTGTGTAGCATGCCCTGATTTTTCTGAATCTACTATTTTTGCAGCAAGTGAATGTAAATGTGTACCTGGATTCTTTAGAGCTAAAAAGGATCCAAAAAACGTTCCATGTACACAACCACCATCAGCACCTGATAATTTGACTGTTACATTTGCTGATCAATTTTCAATAGCCCTTACCTGGCAGCCTCCACATAAAAATGGGGGAAGAAATGATGTTACGTATCGTATACATTGTTCTAATTGTGGTCCTAGTGTTGAATATAGACCTGCTTCTAGTGGTTTAAATTCTACTAGAGTGACTATTATAGGTCTGGATCCTGTAACTGAATATAAATTTCAAGTATTTGCTGAAAATGGTGTTACTGAGTTAACAGGAGAGCCACCAAAGAAGGTGGAAATAACAGCTATAACTGAGGCTTCTGTTGTTAGTGTGGTATCAAAATTAAGAGTCCTTAGTGTAGAAAGTGATAAATTGTCAGTTGCTTGGAATCCACCACCCATTGATTTGACAGACCCAGATGATACAATAGAAAGTTATGAAGTGAAGTGTTTTGCTAAAGATAATTTTGATAAGAATGGGAATGCTACCTTAAAGATCACTAAAGAGCCTCACATGACTATTACTGGCTTGAAAAGTGATACTGAATATGGTATAAGAGTGAGAGCAAAAATGAAAAGGGGATGGGGTGAGTTTAGTGGAATAGTCTATGCCCACACAGGATCAGTATTAGAGACCACTTTTGTAGGTGAAGAAGAAGGAGCACAAGTCAGATTGGTTGCAGGGGTTATGGTTGCAGTTGTTGTTCTCTCTGTAGTTGCTATTATTGCAACTGTGCTATTTTTAAGATCACGTGCTGATGATGAGTGCGATAAAAAACAACCTAATGATTGCAATGCACTAAACTATCGTAATGGTGAAGTTTATACAGGTCCTGAGAGACCTGCTAAAACCAGTAGTAATGCTACTACTCCATTGTTTGCTGGCACTGGCTCTAGAACATATATTGATCCGCACACTTACGAAGATCCTAATCAAGCAGTGAGAGAATTCGCTCGTGAAATTGATGCTTCTTGTATTACTATAGAGGCAATTATTGGTGGTGGTGAATTTGGTGATGTATGTCGTGGAAAACTTAAACTGCCAGCTAGCTGCGGCCAAGAAATTGATGTTGCTATTAAAACTCTCAAACCAGGATCCACAGAGAGAGCAAGAAGAGATTTTTTGGCTGAAGCTTCAATAATGGGACAGTTTGAACATCCTAATGTTATATTTTTGCAAGGTGTAGTTACTAAATGCAACCCTATCATGATTATTACAGAATTCATGGAAAATGGTTCATTGGACACATTTTTAAGGGCAAATGATGGCAAGTTTCGAGTTTTGCAGTTAGTAGGAATGCTACGTGGTATAGCTACTGGAATGCAATATCTATCTGAGATGAATTACATCCATAGAGACCTGGCTGCTCGTAATGTACTTGTCAATTCACAGCTTGTGTGCAAAATAGCTGACTTCGGTTTATCTCGTGAAATAGAATCTGCAGCTGATGGTGCATACACAACTCGTGGTGGTAAAATACCAGTAAGGTGGACAGCACCAGAAGCTATTGCTTTTAGGAAATTTACTTCAGCTAGTGACATATGGTCAATGGGTATTGTTTGTTGGGAAGTGATGAGCTTTGGAGAACGTCCTTATTGGAATTGGAGTAATCAGGACGTAATCAAGTCGATAGAGAAGGGATATCGTCTTCCTGCACCTATGGATTGCCCAGAAGCTGTTTACCAGCTAATGCTTGATTGTTGGCAAAAGGAGAGAACACACAGACCAACATTCTCAAGTATTGTCAAAACATTGGATAAACTTATTCGTTGCCCTGACACATTAAGAAAGATAGCTCAAAACCGTTCAGCAGATCCTCTTGCAGGTGATACTCCAGACTTGAATCAGTTCTCATCCGTTGAAGAGTGGTTGGAGTGTATAAAAATGTCACGATACATTGAGAAATTTCGTGCTGCAGGTATTACAGATATGGAGGCTGTTGTAGATTTGACAGTTCACCAGTTGGCGACCCTTGGCGTTACGCTCGTTGGACATCAGAAAAAAATCATGAATAGTGTCCAAAGTATGCGTGCTCAGATACGCGTCAGTGGGCCTTATGGGTTTCTTGTGTGAATTTTCGTAAAGTGCAATTCGGAAAGTAGTATGATTGAGGAGATGATTTTACAATGAGCAGTTTCTGTAATAAATGTGTACATCAAAAACAATGTGAAAACAATGATCTCTCGATGAGCAGCTAAAGTGGACAATTCTTTGCCATAATCTTTGAAAAAAAAAATACATCTTCAATAAATGCATTTTGTATATTTTTCTAAAAGCAAATGTCATAGAATAAGATGTAGAATAAAAGACAACTTTTCATAAAAAGTAAAAAAATATCATACTAAATTAGTATTGGTTATATTTTTTCCATGTAATAAATATAGGTACTGTTGTATGTGTGTGCTAAGTGTATTTTAGTGATTGGCTTTTTGACTTTAATATTTGTTGTCTATTTCATCTTATAATACCAACTGAATGATTGTGTTATAAAAATTTGTAGATTGTGTGATAATGAATCAACATAAAAAATTCAAGTTAACCATAAGTTTTCATTAAAGCCTTATTTAATATTTTTGTTTGGGTCAAAAATCCAATTACTATATAAACCATACAGTATGTAAGAGCATCTGGCCTAAATTTATCATTGTGATTATTGATTTTCAATACTTATAAGCTTTATTATGCTACCGTCTTGAAATTTGTGTACAACGAAGAAATGAAAGCCATTATTTATGTTACTCAATAATATCTATTATCATTTATCTCTTCTGTAAAGGCAGTTTTAAAGATAAATCAACATACCATCACTATAGATGATTTTTAATGTATAAAGCTGCTAAAACTAATCTATCTAGACTGATGTTCATATTTGTGATTGTTTTATAATGAATTTTATATTATTATTTTATTTTTTAAAGAAATTGTACTTAATAACTTGAGATTTAGTTTTAAGAGAGATTGTGGAAATTTTTTTCAAAAAGTACAAGAAATAGCATTTTGCAATGAGTATGCAAGCTTTTTTCGGGCATGTAATGATTTTATTTACATAATTGTAAAAATAGAGTATAAAAATGTAGTTAGCTAATTTGACATATAATTATGTGTATATTATTGACAATTTGATCCCAAAAGTTTATACTATGGTAAAATAAAGTGTCAAATACTCGTACCATTGCCATTTGTTCTATTTTTTATTTCTTTTAGTAATATAATTGTGTAACTTTTACTGCCAATGTGATCAAGCTGAGGTATTATGGTTCTTAAACTTTAAACTAAGACAATTCATTTATTTACATATATTTAACAATTTTTACACTGCATTGTACAAAAGGCTGAGTTTATGTTAATTTTAGTGTAATATAATTAGACATTTGTAAAGCTATGTTCTGAATTCTTACAAATAATCTGATATGATAAAATATTGTTTATACAAAAATATCTATACATACATCTGATATTTTTGTTAATAAATAATGTTTTATTGTGTGTATTCAAAACAATTGTGTATCCTTAATTTAATTTTTTTTATACTCGCAAATCAATTTTTTAAGATCTAGTTGAAATACGAATATTGCCAATATAGTAATTATAAGTGCTTTGCCTATTGCCTGAGATGAAGTTTACAAACACCTACTTAACAAACTGAGCTATGCGACTTTTATTGTATTTTACTGCTGCTAGCGAATTCAGCTCTGCTATTATTTGTTGTCAAATGTGTTTTACTATTAATTGATAATTATTTATTTTCATAAATGTAACAAAAATATATAATTTGTGATGAAAAGATTATCAATAGTTTGGCTCGTTATATTTTACACACTAATAGAATTTGAATAGAATCCTATTAATTCTGCTTAAGTCATACCATATTATAATTTATATTTTGTATAGTACGACTAAGTACTACTAACTAACGCAAGTTTCTAAGGCAGATGAAAAAACGGTAAAGTATTATATGGGTGGTAAAAGTACACTGTACGTTTGAATACCGATCCATAAAATTCTGCTTATTGTTTTTATATTCGTGGGGTTAACAACCTATAGCTACGAGGACAACAAAATACGAACGTTCTAACGATACGATACGATACGTATCGTTTATACAGTCATTGTCCGTTATTACGCCTGCACTTTTTTTATTAGTCGGGGAAATATTTTGGAGCACAATACCTGCCGCCTGGGGAACGACAGGGATGAAATTGAAAGTCTTTACCACAAATGTTGGTGTCTATTGTTTTTTAAGACACATTTACTTTTTAAATAAATAATCATTTATGGAAAATGATTAAAGCGTGGCATTATTTGATTATGAGATGATTATGTAACCAAGTATGAATATTGTATGTACGAGATTACTGCAGAATGCGAAATTGAAATTGTATTTTAATATTTTCATTAAATGATCCGTTGATTTCATTCTCGCTTCATTAAAGTTGAAGATTTTTGTGTCCTGTTAAAAAGACAACCGGAAATTACAAGACTATTGAAAGTTGAATGGTTGAGAGTCGATGTTAATATGACGGAAGACCTAGGGAGCCAATCAACGGATTTTTGCGTTAGTACACACGATGGACAGACTGACCTCCCGTCGAGTTTGCAAGGTTGAATACTAGTCTTATAAAGAGGAAAGATTTGATTGATTGTTTGCAACGAGTAGACTGCGAAACTACTGAACCGATTTTAAGTCTTTCTCCTTCGAAGCTACATCACACGCGAGTCGCCAGAATACTTATATACCAGCTTACCGCCAGCGGTTTCGCCCGCGTAATGGGATAAAAAGTGGCCTATATGTTAACTCGGGGTTAGAATTATCATCAAAAGCAGTTCACTAGTCTTTGCGTGAAAGAGTAAAAAACACATATACACCCTTACACTATTATTATTAGTAGGATTTGTCAGTTCTGACGTTTCGCACCGGATTGCAACATTACAATGATCGTTATACCTATAATTGAGTACATTCTATATACCTATAATTTTAGTGGAGTTGAGATGAATGTAGTTTATAACAAGGCGGCTGGTCATGGAGCTCATGACCATTGATTAGATCGACCATATTCATTATAATGCCAATTAACGAATTAAATAAAATTCATTATACTTACTAGATCACCACTTTATAATCCCTCTGCCCCTTGACTTGAAGGCTGGATCCGCTCTTAGTTGTGTGAATATAAAAAAATGACTGGTGTATATTATATAGCGAGCCAATACTATAGGTTATAGGCTACGATTAGAATAAGATGAAAAGAGATTAGTTTTGTATTAACAAGATAATACATATCTTTATTTACCTCGAGCAGAATATGTATAAATGAGAGCTGTTTCGCATGCAGGCCTTCAAGGAGCATGAGAGATGTTAGCACTCTGGAATGTTAGTTTTGCTGCGTGATTAAACAATACCTAATTGGAGTTACCGATGCGGATACTATAGCGTTGTCTCACTTTGTACTAAAATTTTCATATGTTTTGTATATGTCTTTGTCCACGTTAATAATTCTTTTGTTCTTTGCACTTGGTTTGACAATAACCAGTAATATTAGCTCCTGACCAATTGATACGTCGCATAGCTCCGGTGATTACAATCTAGCTACTTAATATCATCATCATACATCTCCGCTTTGTTTAGAATCTTCTTAGTAATAATTACGTTACTATCACGCTGCACGCCAGGTTACCATAATATGCAAGGTTTTGAACATCTACCCTACATTAAGGTTTAAAATCGAGTGGGGAATATTTGACAGTTTTGTATAACCTGACGTGTTGTTGACTGTACCTTTTGTTAAATGTATTCGTCCGACTGACGATCTTTGACCGAAGTTTTTATTGCGATCTAATGTTTTGACTATAATCCAATATAGCATGATAACCTTTATAAACATTTAGTTTACAAAATATTGTACTAGATGTCTACGTGAGTTGTTTTACACATTTGCAACATTGTAATTTACATTTTATTGCAGATTTCATTAACTGAGTCAGATAACTAGCGTATGCAATAAATGTGAGTCACCCATAAGGATGCCTGAAACAAAATTGTAAAAAGAACCTTGGAAGATAATTAATTTTTTATGAACAAACTAGTTGATAAGCATCACAAGTATTGTCAAACTGACATGTTATCTATTTAAATAGTTTTGGATAAAGTTAAAATGTTCAGTATTAGTTAGAAGTCTGGAGATGTTATAATGAAAAAGGATTGTTTTGAATAATAATTATTGAAGTTAATTCAGATATGTCCTCAGAATCAGCGGCGTAGTAATTAACACATTTATTGCATTTACTTGTACCTACATAGAATATAACTAATCTCTTATAATATTCTCACAATCTCACAAACAGACGTATTTTTTTTAATATCTTTTTGGAAAATCCTTGTTTTTTTTTAATGAAAATTTTAAAGTAAAATATTTAATTGTTAATTTGGAGATAAGCTTGCTTTCAATGTTGTTAGAAGCGAATATAGTCTTCATATTAATTGTTTTGTGCCATTTATCAGGGCTTTGAGACGAAAAAAAGGTGAGAGGGCCTCTAATGATGTGAATATTTTTATAGATTACAGTATTGACGTCCTGTTTAAAATATATTTACTCTGGTACAGTTTATAAATTTATAGCAATAAGTATATCGCAGCTATCACGACACCACATAGTACCTTAAGTAGTTGAACGAAACACCAAACAGAGAAAATATAAAATTTTCACAATTTGTTATGATAAATTACATTTATATAACTATTTTTTTGCACATAAATTCTGTAATAAAAATCCTCTATTTCCATATGAATAGACTGGATATTAGATTAATAAAAATTCTTAAATTGAAGCATATACCGAAATAAATTAGATTATTCAATACTTGCGCAAAAGGCAACGATAGTTTAAAACATTCTCAAAATTCTAAATGTAATATATACTGTTTTAATGAAGTTCATGTATTAAAATGACATTTTGGCTGATGTATCGGATTTTTTTTCGTTATAAGAAGTATTTTGTAAATTTGAAGTTCTTTTTCTAGATTTAAATAAGAAATGGGGTGTCGCTAATTTTAGCTAGAAAGAATTCGAGATGTAGAGTTCATGCTAAAACTATATAACTCCAAATTAAAAGATCCCGATGTATCCTAAACATTGTTTCGATTTGAATTATATGTACGTATGTCACAAAAAATATATGTCGGATATTACAAGAAAAATTTGTAAGCAGTGCATAAATTTTTTTAACCCCCTCTTCTGTTTTTTTAATCCTAACTATAAACTAGTTGCTATTTATTAAGATATCCTAACAGTACCTCAAGGTTGATGACCAATTTATGTAATATGTCTACATTTTGTTCATTAATATTGAAAAAAAAAACAATGAATATAATAAATATTATATTATTTATCTGATAAAGTAATATATATTTATTAATTACAAACAATATTGTAAAATATTTATGCACTGATTGCAAACTTAACCAGTATATAAAGGATTTATTAGCGAAATTTTAAATTTTTACGTGCTAATCTCTGAATAAGTAGATAACTGTAAAATTTACAAGGTAAGTAATACTGTGTTTATTAATGTAGATAATAGTCCGATACTTCTTAATTTAGGAGTACTGTCTGCAACTTGTAAAAGCTATCACGAAACTATAAATTAACATAATAACAAAATGTGCATAAGTTGCTGAAATATTTTGTGTATTGTAATATGTATTGAAATGGAATCCAGTTATGTACGTAAAAACATTAGAAAATCAAGATTTATAGTTTCATTTGCAGTTTTTTGTTTTAGATTTATGCTCGTATACGTATGTACGTATAAAACTTACTATAGAATAATAATTATCATCACAGTTTTGTTTATTTAATATCACTGTCTATACACGGTTATTTATAAAGGACCAGCAACCCCACAGAACTAGATAGCTTAATTACATAAAAAATAACAACATTTTATGTACCACTTTAAATGTGATTCAATACTTTGAACGAATATTACATCGTAACATTCATAGGTACATTTTATTATAAACAGCATTTTATGAAGCGCCTAAATATTTGTGTTGCAGAAATAATGAAAGATCTTATCGTTATTGCACTAGATATCAACACTTGTAATTTAACATGGGGATAGTTTTTATATAATGTTGTATCTGGCATAATGTCATTTTGAAACTATAATACAGCAATAATAATGTTATGTACGAGTTTCAATCACATTTTATAATAATTGTTCATTTAGTGCAATGCGAAAAGATATAATTTTAAATCTTAAAAGATTTGTGATAATATTGTATTATAAAATACGTATTCTTTATCTAAATAAAAATATAGTTTATAAAGTTTTAACATCGCTTACGCAACTTGACGATTCCTTTTATATTGAATAATTTAATATTTGAACGTTTGCTCTATACAATTCCTAAATATCAGTGTTTCTCGTAGGGTTTGTATAAAATTAAAATGAATAAACCCAATGTTGTTTTTATGATGTTCTGCTTCTTGTGTGATGATCTAGTACTGTTTGCGTAGCATAAGTACCTTGAGAGACATTTTGTCTACATCCAAATGTAACAGTCCTTGGGTGCGCGAATGAAATACCTCATTCTTAACCCGAGAAAGATGTACAAAAAAGTTTCTTGAGTTAGTCATGCTAGGTTGCTGATTCTATGATAACCCTCTATATTTCTTACAGTAGGCCGATGAGCTGAGCACATGTAGACATAGTAAGAAGGGTAGGTACGCGGATCGAATGGGGGCTATATCCATTCTAAGCTGCCATACACTCATTTAGAACCGTAAGGTCACGAGTGTCAATTTTATTAAGCGAGTGTTTAGTTATTGTTACTAGTGCTGTGTGAGAACTTCTTTTCGATTTATTTCTAATACCATAACATGTCTATTAATTTAGTACTACCAATAAACAAATTTACATGTGCGGTTAAAAATTGTGACGACCCTGTCAACAAAAGCGGATTTTAGTGTGTCTTC